TACTTCGACCCAGACATGAGCCAAGCCAAGGCCGCCTGGGCCGTCCGTGTCACCGACGGCAGCGACAGCATCTGGTCCTACGGCGCGGGTACCTACTCGTTCTTCCAGAACTACGACCAAGACTGTGTTGTTGGCCAGAACTGCCAGCAAGACATGAACGAGATCGCCAACTCGACAAACGTCAACTGGTTCGGTCTCAGCACCAAGGCGTCTGTCAACATGATCACCATGGGTGGTCAGGGTCTGGCCAAGGACGAGGATAACCGCTCCAACTTTTGCGCTACCCTTGCTATCTTCGCTCAGGCATAGATAACTCGTCTTGTCTCTACGACAACACTACGTGGATATCCTTGATGGATGTTCATTGACATAGACACTTCTTCACTTCTTTTCCCTTTGGGGACCCGTTTTTTTTAACGAACATGTATATCCTTTTTTTGTTGTTCTGTCTTTGTCCCATGTAAGAGGCGGAATGTCACACTCGCTTGAAAGATACGCTGTATGAAGTCGAGAAGCATTATTTATACCCCTGGGCAGGATTGAGGAGTTTGGGCCGGAACCTTTTCTTTTGAGTGCAGTTGAGAAGATAGATGATGAATCAATATCTTGTGATATTATCAATGCTTGAATATTTCGTCTGTGATGTCTTTTTGGTAGTCTGAACCATCTCATTACAGGTTCTGGCAACGTGAGAGTATGTAGATAGTGTTAATGTTAACATGTGAGGCCCTCGCCAAAACTCACCTCCCCGCGCGCACGTCCTCGGGAAAAACTTCCCCGCGCAGAATCTCGCAGCTCACCTCTCTACAAAACCTACCCTTCCCACACAACCTCCCCACCACATCTCTCACGTGCGCAAACATGTCTGAACCGTCAGACGAATCCACGCGACCGGCGAAACGCGCGCGACTTGACGACAATGCCGCTCCCTCACTCTCCACTACCTCGACATCAGCTCCGCAGACAGCTCCGATTTCCTCAGCGCCAGCGACCATTGACACGGATCTGGAGCGCGAAGTACGCGCCGGTATAACCGAATATGTCTGCCCGGATAATCTGGGCTTTACGGGTGTGCTGAAGCAGAGGTACACGGATTTCTTGGTCAATGAGATTGGGTTGGATGGGCAGGTGCTGCATTTGAAGAGCACGGAGGTGGTGGATAAGAAGAAGGCTGGGAAAGAGAAGGCGGAGGCGACCAACGGTGTGGATGAAAGGAAGCCTGAGAGTACGGCAGCGACTGAGGAGAAGGTCGATGCTGTTATGCAGGATGCGGGAGTTGCTGGTGAAACTACGCTTGCGGTGCCCGAGCCGGTAAAGGTGGAAGATGCGCCGAAGGAGGAGGAGAATGGTGGGGAGGAGATTATTGGGAAACCGCCGGTAGCTCAGGAAGAGCCTGAAGAACAGGTAGGTGGTCTGTACGCATACATGTTGCGCAAATGCTAACACGTACAGTTGCCAGAAGAAGATCGCAATATCCTACACTCGATATTCGGCGAACAGACTACCGACGAGATCGTAAAGCTTGTCCGCCAAGTACGGAGAAAGGAATCGCGAAAGGCAAAAGACTTCAAAGCCGTCATATCGTCGCCCATAACCGATAAGGACAAGCGCACCCAGGCTCACCAGAGTCTACGTCGGATCTTTCCTAACCTCCTCGAGAGTGCAATGGAGGAGAACCAGACCATACGCATCAAGGCGACTCCACCAGCGGAGCGCAAAAAGAAGAAGGGCAAGGGTAGCGCAAAGGATCGCGAGAACCAGGGAGGCCGACGCGGAGGTCAAGATTGGGAGGAGCTTGGTGGAGAATACCTGCACTTCAATCTGTACAAGGAAAACAAGGATACAATGGAAGTTGTAGGGTTCCTTGGAAGCAAGCTCAACTGCGGCGCCAAAGGCTTCGGCTTCGCAGGCACAAAAGACAGACGAGCATGCACCGTCCAAAGAGTCTGTGTCAAGCGTCAACTAGCCCAGCGCATCCAGAACTTCAACAAGATCCTGTTCAATGCCGCCGTAGGAGACTTTGAGTACCGCCACAACGACCTAAAGCTAGGAGACCTGATGGGCAACGAGTTCACCATCACCCTCCGAGACTGCCATTTCCAGAGCGAAGAAGGACTGGACTTTGCTCAGCGAAGTAAATTGGCCCACGACGTAGTCAGCAAAGCCATCACCGACTTCTCCCAAAAAGGCTTCATCAACTACTACGGCCTCCAACGCTTCGGCTCCTTCGCCGCAAGCACCGACGCCATCGGCCGCAAGATGCTACAAGACGACCTTCAAGGCGCGGTAGAAGACCTCCTCGCATACAGCGACACGGCCCTCGCCTCTGCCCTAAACCCGTCCGAGTCCACAACTCTAGTCTCGCAAGACGACCGCAACCGCGCCCACGCCCTGCACATCTGGAAAACCAAAGGCTCCGGCACCGAAGCCCTCGACTTCCTGCCCCGCAAATTCACCGCGGAGCGAAACATAATCCAACATCTTAGTTCGCGCAACAGTAAATCAGGCCGCTACGACCGCAAGACGGATTGGCAAGGCGCGCTCATGACTATCCCGCGTACACTCCGTCTAATGTACGTCCACGCCTACCAATCCCTCGTCTGGAACAGCGTAGCCGGTAAACGCTGGGCCACCCACGGCGACAAAGTCGTTCCCGGCGACCTCGTCCTCGTGAACGAACACCGCGATAAAAAAACGGGTAGCACGGAGAAAATGCCAAAAGCAACACACGACCAAGACGGCGAACCCATCATCGATCCCTCCGGCGCCGATTCTTCGCTTGCTCCCGACGCGGATTTCGAACGCGCGCGTCCGCTTACTGCGCAGGAAGCTGCTAGTGGCGAGTATAGTATCTGGGACGTTGTCTTGCCGCAACCGGGCTTCGATGTCGAGTACCCTAGAAATGAGATTGGGGAGTACTACAAGGAGTTCATGGGGAGTGAGAAGGGTGGGGGGTTGGATCCGTATAATATGCGGAGGAGTTGGAGGGAGGTTAGTTTGAGTGGGGGGTATAGGAAGTTCCTAGCCCGGCCACTTCAACCGCTTGAGTTCAATGTTCATAGTTATAGGAAGGTGGATGAGCAGTTTGTTCAAACAGACTTGCAAAGCCTGGGCCGCGAGAGAGATGTTGGAAAGAAAGATGGGGGTAAAGAGGATGGGAAGGAGGGAGAGATTGCAGACGCGCAGATGGAGGACGGAGAGGAGAAGGAAGAGGCGGGAGAGGAAAAGATTGCTGTGGTGATCAAGTTACAGTTGGCGAGTAGCCAGTATGCTACTATGGCGTTGAGGGAGCTGATGAAGGCGGGGGGTGTTAAGGCGTTTAAGCCTGAGTTTATGGGTGGGAGATAGGTGATGAGGATGCGGGATCATTGGTGATCATGGTGAAAAGCAACGAAAGTCATGGTCATATGTTTTGTACAAAAAACGAGGTAAATTGTCTATCGGTGCTTGAAAGGGATATAGTCATCTACGTGTTTGGGTGGGGTGGTGGTGGTGGTGGATTAGTGTTGTATGTCTCCTTTCTGATGTGCGTTCGGATTGGAACTGCCATGGAATGCGGAGTCTTCCGTTTGACAATGTAGGTAATGCCCACTCACTACCCCGTACTTCACGACGCCATCGTACCATGCTGCAATGTCAATAGTCTCATCCCCTTTTCCTTGTAACTGGTACTGGTACGACGGAAAACCTTCTTCCGCCGTGTTTACCCGTAGTACAGGATTCACTACTTCCAACCCACAGCGAGCGTTAGCGTTGACAACCCGGGTGGCGGGCCGCCCATGGTACAATCCATTACATAGTTTGCAGTCTAGGGACATTGAGGATACTTTCTTGACGGAAAAATGCATCACAGCCAAGTCACGACAAAGGTCAGCGTTGACAAAACTAGTGGCATTGCCGGACATGGCTGAGAATACTGTCTTGACAGTCGTAGTTATTAAATCCGAGGATCTTCTGGGTTGGCTAAAAATACATTGGGGGTATAAAACTGATTTTCTTTGTCGTCCATCTAACGACTGGTTTTGATCTCCACGGATGATAAAGGAAAGGCGTAGCGTCGTTACGGTCGTGTCGGTGTATATGTACAAATGTTCAGCTCGCGTTCGGTTTCGAGATGCTCAAACCGCGTCCCCTGCGTCCATATATCTCGGCGGCGGCGAAATGGGATCGGACAAGGGTCCAGCATAGTTCACATCTTCGCTCGTGGGCCGGCTGCGGTGTAGTAATGCGCGGCTGAGGCTGAGACGCGACGGTTGGCGTGGTTTCTTCTCCTCCGGCGCCTTCCATAAAGGGAGGTCTGTTGCGTCGGACGAGGTGCGAGTGAGGATAGGGTCAGCGCTGCTGCGTTTCGTGTAGCCCATGTCTGACGGGAGGGGTGTTGCCGCGGTGTTTGGGCGCGTTATAGTCTTTGCTTCGTACATCGATTCCAGTTTTGGTGATGAAGAAGCCTTCTTTTCGATGCCGGTGTATTGTATGCCCAGCTCCGCGAGTAGGAGGTTGTTCTGCGGCGTTGCATGCAAGTTGAGTTGGGACAGGGAGTGGTTCGTTGTTCGTGGAGATGCTCGCGTGCTCTTCATTGTGCCGCTCCTGCTTCCGTCCCTGGTGGTCATGTCGCGTGCTCTTGAGATTCCCATTTTCATGAGTGGGCGGAGGGTTGCCATGCAGCCGACGATGATGCATGTGCCGCATTCGACGGTACTCCATATGGACACGTTGGTCACGTCCCAGAAGAAGTCTTCGAGTTCTGTTAGACCGGTTATGTAAGGGAAGCGGATTCCGGAGCAGATGCAGCCACTGTGATATGTTAGTAGAGCGGTTTGAGAGTGGCTTTAGTCGAGACGTACAGAGCTGCGAGGGATAGGATAAAGCCGACGGAGAATTTGTGCCGCAGATCCATGTTGGCGTACCATAGAATGGGGATGGGTAATAAGAAGAAGACGACGTCTGTCAATGTACTAAAGGTCGCTGTGGAGTACTTCGTAAGCTTGCGTGTAAATAATTCATTCGCGCCACATACCTTGTTGATAGGCAAAGAAATAGTCGACCTGCCGCGATTGGCAGCGACCGATGATCTCGTTGACTGCGTACTTCTCCAAGTTGGGTCCGCATCGGAAGATGACGTAGAAGAATGCAGACATCGATGACACAATGTTGGCAGCGACGGTCACGTAGATGATGATGAAGTGACTGCGCCTGACGACGATGCGGGAGAAGAAGATAGCCAGAGAAATCTTGACCAGCATGATGGCCATGAGATATCCGGTTTCTCTCACAATAACCCACTGCAACGGTTAGTATGGTTCGCAAGGACAGGATCAGAATACTTACTTTTGTCACCTTCTGCAACTCGTCCGCGCTGGTGATCTCGCTGGTTCCACCAGATGCTTCAACCAACCAAACTGATCCGCAGAACAAAGTGAACGTCAACTGCTAATGTTAGTTAATGATCACTTGGCAGTGGTGACAGAAACCTACACCGGCAAGTAGCATGACCGCATCATCCCAGCCAAAACTACGGATAATACATGTGCGAGTCCATATCCTGAGTAGGATGAAGATCCAGGATACAACCAGGAAGGCAATGGTAATCCGTTGTTGCTGTTCGGCGGCCATCGCCAGGTCGGCTGAGCTGTGCGTCATGGTGTCGATGTCGAGAGCACGACCAAGTGTCAAGCTGATGAAAAGCAAAGTTGCGCAGTGGTATCAAACGAGAGTAGCGTGTTGCTCGAAGAGAGCAACGTATGGTCGTTCATGAGAAAGATACAACAAGAAACGGCGGGACCTGCATCGAAGGGAAGAACCGGTTTAGTATCCCGCATCATTATGTTGAGTCGAGTTTGGTTGACTATGGCTTGTAGTAGCATGCACAGCGGCCCAGCCAGTCTATCAAGTTCCCAGTAGACTATTGCCCACCGGCGGCCTTCTCCATCCTGTGAGGAGCTCTGGAGCTGCATCCAAAACTCTAATCTGACGGCTGAGGCGAATCCGAACCTTGAGCTATCGTTACTCGTAGTGTAGACGGCGGCGCTGCGGGGACGCTGGCTAGCGCTGCCGCCCCATGTTGGGCTCTACGGGGTCTTCTCCGACACTGGTACAGGAGTATATGCATGGCAAGTATGCAGGCAGACGATTATAAGCGGACGCGAAACATACAGTATGCGTGCGGGGGAGTCGGTGGGGGGGCGTTGAGGGTAGTGTCAGGCACAGGGTGGGTCTGAAAGGGAGAGGGACCTCGGGATTGGTGATCTCCCTGGCGCTTGGACCTTCAGATTTCCAGTTCCAGTCCTGCTTCCATCGCAAACAAGCAAACATGACCCTGGCGGAGAAAGCAGCACGAGGCGAACCGCAGAAAAAGAAACTACATCGGCCACCAAAGAAGGCCTGGATACCGGAGAGTATCGCCTCCATCAATATATCGACACTGAAGTTGGGTTCGCACTGTTCGCGTCCGGTTGGGTACCTGGCTCGCATGCACGTGAGTGATCAACACTTGTCCGCACGGTCTGCCACATTCGCCTTAGCCAGGGACGCCACGATCCCAAAAACCAGATACCCGTGGACCGAGGCGAGCCTAGACAGACGATAGGTGCGGGAGTAGTCGCGACTTGGGAACGAAGGTTTGCACGGAAGCTGCCTGAGGTGTCCGGTCAGGGCAGCCATACAGCACACTCCAGACCCTTTTCAGACACGCTTCACCCCTGCTTGCTGTCGCCACGGGCCCTAGTCACGCTCCCCCGAAGCTTGCATCCTGCATCCCGTGACGTCAATCTAGCGTCCCTTTACAGCACTTGAGGAAGCGAAGATCAGCATGCCGCCTTCACTTCGCCGACGAGGAAGCCAAGCACACACACATCGTATGCCCCCGCCCTCACCACCAGAAGCCCAAGACACGTCCAGCGACGCAGAACTAGACGGTCGCCAAGATGTCGAAGAAGAAGAAGAGCAGGATCTCGACGCCGCCGACGACGACGAAACCCTTGGCGACGACCTAATCGGCCTCGAAGGCGATGAAGAAGACCAAGAAGAAGACGACGAAGGCGACGAAGAACTCGGTTCAGAAGATGGTCTCGCATCCCCAAACCTCCCCTCAGATAGTCTACCCAACCTCGATCCCCCACCACCTTACCTCCGCGAAATCTCCACCCTAGCATCTTGGACCGTCTCCTCCTCCAAACCAGGCTGTTCGATTCCCCAACTGCGGCATCCGAATACGAACCTCTTTTGGCAATCCGATGGACCACAGCCTCACTATCTCAACATCCACTTCTTCAAACTCGTCCGTATTGTGGGATTGAGACTGTATCTCGACTTTGAACAAGACGAGAGTTATACGCCCACGAAGATCATCTTCCTCGCTGGCAGCGGGCTGAACGACCTCCAGGAATGGGGCGAGATGCGATTGGAGAGTCCGAGGGGATGGATCTGGGCTGATTTCTCGGGGGTAGGAGATCCGGATAGTGATGATGAGGGTGGTGACGACGACGATGAAGAAGGTGATGGAGGAGGGAACGCAGGCGAACGGCCCCAACGTCTCCTCACAGACGCCTTGCACATGAACGGCGGGAGGAGAGGCAACGACGCATCTTCTGATTCCGAAAATGCGGCGCCAGGTCAGGGAGGGGATCTGGATATGCAAACTCCAGGACAGCAAGACACGCCTATACCTCCGTATCCTTCCTACGACACACCCCAACCCACCCAACAGTCACAACCCCCTCCACCAGGCACCCGCACACGCACCCGCCGCGCAAACCTCCACCCAAACCCCTCCATCACACCGACCCAGAACCATCCACCATCAACGCCTATCCCTCCTCAAACACAACCGCAAACCTACCCGCGCTCTCACCCTCGCGCCCCTTTCGCCTCCCTCTCACCGAACCCCGCTCCCCGCCCCGCACCCTCAAATACCTTCTCAACACCAAAGCTACCTGTGCTGCGAGCGCATCTGGTCCAGATTAAGATTTTGGAGAATCATCAGAATGGAAAGGATACGCATTTGAGGGGGTTGCAGATTTTTGCGCGGAACGATGAGGATGGGGGGAGAGGGGGAGGGGGTGGTGGGGGGCAGGGACATAGGGGCGTTACGGCGAGGATAGAAGGAAGTGGATTGCAGGAGATGGTTAAGAGGGAGAAGAAGGAGAGGAAAAGGAGGGAGGAGGTTTTGGAGTTGGGGGGTGGGGTTATGGGGATGAGTATGCGTAGTGGTGGAGGAGGGATGGGAGAGGGAAGTATTCGCTGATAAAGAAACAAAACCTAGTTAGAAAGCGAGAACACTTGTACAATTTCAGGGAAATATGAAATCCACCTCCTCCCCACCTCCTCCCCTCCGCCTCCCCCACCTACCCGGGGGTATCAGATAAAATTCAGCTATCGTTGAACGAACCAACGAGTGGTTTCGCTGGTCAGTTAGTCAGTCGGTCCCACCAAACAATAGCTTGGAAAGTTTGAAGAGCGGGTAGAGCAGTCTGGTGTGGAATACGCGTCACAGCCTTTAATGCCTTTACAATCTTTACTCGGAAGGGAACAACGTTAAAGTACCAAGCATGAAGTGCATCAAAGAAATAGATAGAATGTGAATCTCATAGCTGTGCCTTCGGTCAGCAAGTTTTCTCAGACCACAAGCTTGAAAGCTGGAATGAGCGGCAACAAGGCAATGCGCATTCATAAGATTTACTTGGGCATGAGCACCATCAGAGCATGAGGTTGTGAAGAAATAAATGAAATTTAGATTCCATAGCCTACGCCACCCATTCCAATCCTTCCTATCCTTTCCCTTCCTTCCAGTTCCATCATCTCTCGTACATTTGGATATACCTTCCCTCCCCGCTTTTAGTTGTGTAGAAACGGTCCGACTGAACATCAATTCCCTCAAAGCAGCAAGATAAAGATACATATGTGACCGGATATCTCGCGATCTATAACAGAGAGCGCCTAGGAAAATTTGCTTTCCAGCCCTAGGGGCAGGAGAGAGACAGCGTGGAGACCGAAGTCGGCATGCTGCTTTACACAGGAATGAGCCTGTGTTGTGGCTTTGGTGCACTGGGCCAACCTAGATGAAACATTTCTGCTTCATCTAGAAAAGACCCTTACCGTCCTTCTCCCCAAGCGTATTCTTCAGATCCTTAGGCTCAGCCTCCTTCTCCGGCTTAGCGACCTGCTCGTCACTCGGGCCATTCTTCTTGTTTTGCTGCTTAAGCGGCAACTTGCTCGGACTACGGTTCCGGTCCATCTTCTCCTTGTTACCATTCGCATTCTCCTTCTCCTTCTCCTTGACATCCTCCTCGTTATCCTCGTACGCCTGCTCGACCTTCTCGCCGGCAGCCTCAGCCTTTCCAACAAGCTCCTTAGCAATCTGCCTGGCCTTCTTGCTGGTCGCATCGGCGCCCTCGTCAAGTTCCTGCAGTTTCTGGCTAACGCGGCGGTTTACGTTTTCGAGGAACTTTTGGTTGGCGGGGGACATGCTGCCTTTGCGCTCGTCTTTGATGTGGCCGTTTGCGGGCTTCCTTCCGCGGACGGCGTCTCTAGCGCGGTTCACGCCTGAGGAGATGGCGTCTTCGGCGGATTTGTCGAGAGAGTCGAGTTCGCGTTCTACGTTGCGGCTGGCGTCGCCGGCGGCGTCGGAGATGGTGCGGTGCTTGAAGTTCTGCTTGGAGTTGGGGGTGGAGCGGCGGAGGTACGACTTGAAGAAGAAGCGCATGAAGAGGATGGTCAGCGGGGCGAGGTAGATCAGGTTGACGTAGATGGCAAAGGCTTGGCCCGAGGTATCGACGCAGGGGACGGTCTGGTACTCGGTGCGGTAGAAGGTCCTCTCGACTGTCTCGTGGGGGTGGAAGAAGTCGTGTACTGCGTTGTGGGTGGGGGCAGGCTCTCCGGCAATGACTTGCTGGGGCTGGCGAACGGGGATGGGCTGGCCAGGGACGGGGATGTTCTCTGCGAGACCTTCATCGCCAGCGGCGCGGTAGATGAGCTTCCTCAGGAAGGCCACAGCAACACCAGTCACGGTGGGGAGAGCTTCGGCAACCGACTCAGTAGCGGATGCAACTGCGGATGAGACGCTCGACGAGACCACCTTGGGCGCGACCTTCTCAGCAACCTTGTATGCGACCGAAACGGGGACGGTGTAGGAGATGAAGAGGTGGATAGCGGCGAAGGCGGATCCGACGAGGAACTGGGTGATTTGGAGGGTGGTCAGAGTTCGCTTGACGATGTTGGGGACGCGGTAGCCGAGCGCGGAGACAGTGTAGTAGGTGTACTGAAAAACGTTAGTGGGCGCCATTTGCTTGGAGAAAAGCTGCTTACCATCATGGCGTGGATTCCAGAGTTGACCGTGGCAAACATCCAGATAGGAGGTGACATGAAGCGCATACCAGCCCACATGGACAACATAGCGCCGGCATGGTGGTATTTCTGGAGGGTAGTGCTGCGCTTGCCCTTTGCGAGAATAATGGCCGTGTCAAGGACCTCGTAGAACTTGGAGAGGTAGAACCACCAGCCCCAGAAAGCAAGACCCTCGTTCCAGATCCTGCCAACGTCGGTGGTGTCGGGCAGGCCGTTGGAGCCGATCTGAACCTTGGAGTTGAGGCTGCTCCAGCTGTCGTTGACGTTGCTGTAGGTGACGGCGTCGCCCAGGCCGCGGG